TTAAACGGCAGTGCGAGCGATTATTGAGATTGTGTCACGAACAAGCATTTTTTGCTGTTCTGTTCTGTTCTGTTTTTTTTTTTTTTTTTTGAAACAAAGTTTAAAACTCGATTTTGTTTTTCGAACTTATTGCTTTTGTTTTTCAGAGATTATTCCGGCTTATTTCTGAAATTGTCATAATCAATTTAAAATAAATTTAACTGTTAACTGCATTAATTTTTTGGAATGATTGTTTTACTTGCGTCACAATGAAGTTCTCAAGTAGCTACTGAGGCGATGACCTTATCATTTCTTTTTCAATATTTTGAGATATTTTTCGCTTAGGATGCATACACACATATCAGCTATGATGCAGGATAGATATACCAGGGTTTTTTTTTGGAAATTCAAAATTTAAGTTTCCGAAAAGTTCTAAAAACTTAAAATTTGGTATGAACATCTAGGCTGGAAATTAAGTTTGGTATATGAAGATGGTTTTGGAAATGTGTACTAAAGTATGCAAACCGTACTAAAGTATCCACCCGTAAATGGTATTAAAATTGGAACATCGAACTTTTGGTATTAGTTCGTGGTGGGTTGTTGATAAAGAGGTCTTCGAACTGTATACTATACAGAGTGAGATAAAAAAAAAACTTCAACAAAGTCAACTCCATAATTTATACATTTTTTTTAAATTTTATTGAATGAAAGCAAAAAATGTCGGAAATAGCATTAAATTTAAGATATGTTCGAATGGGTCACCTTTGGCACGAATTATGGCCTTCAAACGGCCAATAAAACCGTCACACGCTTCCCGAATGTTGCTCTGCGGTATCTTGGCCCGTTCCCGGCGAAGCGCTAGCTTGAGGTGATGGAAACTTTGGTATTTTTTAGTGCCAACCATGCTTTCCAAAATACTCCAGACACAATAGTTCAACGGATTGGTTTTCGGAGATTTTCGTGGTCTTTGTGCGCTGGAAATGAAACGAGGAACCTCATTTGGTAACAATACCTGGGTGCCGCGTGCTGAGTCCTATTGGAATGTCCAAGGTATGCGGCCAAAATGTTTGCGAGCCCAAGGCTTTAATACACCCTCCAAAATATTTTCGCGATAATATTCGGCGTTTATTCTGATGTCACGGTCGATTAATACGAGCGGAGAACGAAACAACTCTTAAGCTCTTTTGAGTCTATTTTATTTCTGGTGCGGTGTAAGTTCTTGCACATTTTGGAATTTCAATGGCTTTAGCCCGACCTCATTTTTCAATATTTGACGAATGGAATATTGCGATATGTTCAGCTGACGAGCCATTTTTCGGTCACTGGGACGCGGGTTTCGATCAAGTCGCTTCTTTACTTTTCGAACCATTTCTGCTGATGTTGCTATTTTCTTCCATCCACTTCCTTCTCGGTTACGCTACCAGTATCACGGTAACGAGCGATGGTACGAGACACAAAAGATTTATTCACATTTAAATGCTGGCGTGCTCTAACGATAGCCTCTTGTGGTTTTCCAGCCAAATATAAAGAAATCACACTGTCGCGCTCGAATTCCATCACGAATAACTTTTTTTTCTGGAAAATTCACACCAAAATCCCTTTGTACGCTGTAAACAATATAATGAGCTGTCACTGGAATAATTTCAACAGCTGTTGGATGAGTGGCTTATAAGTGACAGCATAGGCAATTTTTGTCATAAGACATTGCAATATTTAAATGCGAAACTTGAACAAAAATTGCTGAGTAATGTAGCTTATTCATCAAAATACCGAATATAGAGAGGTACTATTTCATGGCGGCTATACGACCTCCACAGAAAATTTTCTGTCACATTTTAAACAATTCCGGTGAATAATGTCGCTAAAATCATCAAAAAAAAGGGAGGTAGCATTATATGGCGGCTATACGAAGCCGTGCACCTGCGGGACAATTTTCAGTCATAGGCTGTGGTATCCATTACGAATTTCAAATGCCAAATTTAAAACAATTCGTGTGAATAATGTTGCTCAAATCATCAAAATGCCGTATATCGAGGGGTCCAGTTATATGAGGGCTATACGAAGACGTGGACCTGCACATACAATGTTCTGCCATAGACTGTAATAGGCATTGCGAACTTCAAATACTAAATTTAAAACAATTCCGATGAATAATGCCGCTAAAATTATCAAAATGCCGAATATAGGGAGGTGCCGTTATATGAGGGCTATACGAAGACGTGGACCTGCACAGACAATTTTCTGTCATAGGCTGTAATATCCATTACGAACTTCAAATACCAAATTTCAAACATATCCGGTGAATCATGTCGCTTAAATCTTCACAATACCGAATATCGAGAGGTACCGTTATATGGGGGCTATACCGAAACGTTGACCTACATGGCTCATTTTCAATACCAAAAGTCCTGCAGACATAATGTACATTTGAGTAAAATTTTATCAGCCTACTTCACTTTGTTCGGAAGCTAGAGTGATTTCCATAGACGGATAGACGGGCGGATATCGCTAAATCGACATAGAATTTTATGCTGATCAAGAATATTTATACTTTGTGGGTTCTAAAGTGTATACTTCGAGGTGCTACAAACGGAATGAAAAACATAAAATACCCTCCATACTATGGTGAAGGGTAAAATAGTAGAATGATATGAATTCGAAAATCCGGAATATCGTATTTTCGAGATTTTATTCAAAGAACTGGGGGACTGTGAATAGAGACCTACATTGAGAACTAACCGGGGGATTGTGGACAAAAGTTCATATTGAGAAATAGCTAAGGTGGGTATAGTACTCTTCAAAAGCCGGGTCTCAATACTGCACACATATATATTTATTTCGAAATATGGGATTTTATCAAACATTTCCCCAATGGGAGATTTTTTCGAAATTTTTTCCAGAGGTAGGTATTTTTACCCTGATTCCGAGAAACTATTTTTTTCTTGGGGAAGGACCCGGGACCTTAAACTTTTGAGCCGAAAATCAGGGTTCAAGACCCGGATCCACTTACCCGATATAGACAATATAGGTATCGTTTGAATACCTATCCAACATGAAAATACCTATTCAACAAGTGTGACCACATGTAGTAAGTGGTCATGGTTCTGGAGTTATAGTCAAATCGATATCGTTGGAAAAAAGATGGGGTAAGTTTGTGGGACCCGGATTTTTTATAAAACCCCCAAAAAGTCAAAAAAAGGCCCATTATGGGGTTCAACAAAAATTATAGCTGACACTCTTACATTTCCAAAATTCTTTAATTTGAGCTAATACATTTTTTGGGTCCAAAGATATGGGTCTTTCCATCCGCATAACCCGATTCTAACCAGTGCATTAAAATTATGTTTTCACTAAAAAATGTTTATTTCGCGTAACCGTCGCTGAAATTACAAAATTTTTTTGCATATAGACGGCCTTCAACCGGGGCTTGAGATTTTCTCCTCTGTGTATGTCCTACACCGGCTAATGTGAACCAAAGTTTTCTAAATTTTATACCTTTTGTGAGTAGCCGGCCTTTGGGCGGAGCTTTAGATTTTCTCCTTTGAGTGTGTCCTACACCGGCTAACGGTGTTGAGGTTTTCTCCTCTACGTATGTCCAATACCGGCTAACGCGAACCAAATTTTCTAAATTTGGTGCTTTTGTAATCCAACAACGGCTACGCGAAATAAACCCTTTTTTATTTGAAAACATAATTTTAATGAACTGCTTAGAATCGGGTTTTGCGAATGGAGAGACCCCTATCTCTGGACTCAGTAAAGGTATTAGCAGAAATTGTAGCATTTTAGAAATGTAAGAGTGTCAGCTACAATTTGGCATCAATTTTGTTGACCCGCCTTTTATTGACTTTTTGGGGGTTTTATAAAAAATCCGGTTTCAAAATATCGATAATTTGACTATAACTTCCGAACCGTGGCTACTTCCCGCATCTTTTTTCCAACGATATCTATATTGCCTATATCGAGTAATTGGATCCGGGTCTAGTCGTGGTCTTAAAACCGGACTTTGGGGTCAAAAATCTGGGGTCCCGGGCCCGTCCCCTAAGAAAAAAATAGTTTCCCGGGATCAGAGTAAAGATACCTACCAATGAAAAAATTGTAATGAACTGGTTAGAATCGGGTTATGCGGATGGAAAGAACCCTATCTCTGGACTCAGTAAAGGTATTAGCACAAATTGAAAAGGTAAGAGTGTCAGCTATAATTTTGCATCAACTTTGTTGGCCCCCAACTTTGTTGGCCCTTTTTTGACTTTTGGTGGGTTTTATAAAAAATCCGTGTCCAAAATATCGATAATTTGACTATAACTTCCGAACCGTGACTACTTACCGCATCTTTTTTCCAACGATATCTATATTGCCTATGTCGGGTAATTGGATCCGGGTCTAGTCGGGGTCTTGAAACCGGACTTTGGGGTCAAAAATCTGGGTTCCCGGGTCCGTCCCCTAAGAAAAAAATAGTTTCCCGGGATCAGGGTAAAGATACCTACCACTGGAAAGAATTTCGAAGAGTTCTTACTAAACTAGAGTTAAGCCAAAATTTGCCGGAAATATTTTTCAATTTCCGATAACAGGTTTTTTTTGGGCCCAATTACGTTTACATAACATGTTGCTAGTATTTCGAGCACAGCTGTAAATATTTGTGTCTAATACAAATTGGCAAAAGGCAACAAGACAAATAAACAACAAAACCCCAACAACAAAAGAAGAAAACATAACATACAAAACAAAATGTGCAACAAAAGCAACAACAACTAAAAACAACAACCGATAAAAATTCAAAACGAAGCTACAACAACTCGTTTCAACAAGTGATTTTTCAAGTCGCAGCTCAATGCGGCCGATACTCTCACATGCTCAGCACGACAGTATCCAACGGCTGAGCGAGTGAATGACATACATACATGCGCATAAACGCCACTCTCTGTGAGGGTATTGGTGATTGGCTAGAGCAGTCCAACTTGAAGTTTGTGTTCGAAGTCTTTCGTTATTTGAATTTGAATTCAGTTGCTGCGCGTTTCTAAACGAGAATGGTTGTGAACGGTTGAGTCGAGTTGAGAAAACAAACAAACGGGCGATAAAGACATCATCAAGTGAAACACACACACACGTACCTACACAAAGGCAAAAATTGTTAACAAAAAACCAACAACAACAACAAGAAAAAATAATAATAACAGTAGTGAAAGAAAGAAGAAAGCCAAACAAAAGTGGAGGAAAAAAAAAGTTGAAAGAAAACATATCCATACTCTTCATTAGTAGTAGCTGCTGAATGGCTGGCTGACTGACGGACTGACTGGCTGGTTGGACCATAGCACCCAAGAAAAAGTCAGACCACATACGAAAAGAAATTAACAACAACGACGAAGTGAATTAATGAAAGTCAAATGTGAATGTGTTCGAGTTGAAGTGTCAAATCTGAAAAACAAACATCAAAAATATTCAAGAAGCTTTGTGACAAAAAAAAATGTAAGAAACGAAAAAGAAATATTTAAATATTCAAATATTTTGTGTGGCGATTAGAATCGTACAGAAGCCAAGATAGAGAATGATAGAATGTAAAAGAACGAAGAAAACAAGAACAAACACACAGACAGAGAAAACCAGATCCTATCGAATTGATATTCAATATACCAGTATTTGACCCACCACCCTCCTCCTACCCCTCATGGCAAAATCCCACCATGGCCAGTGGCCACAATAAACAAAATGATTGGAATTCTTTTCCTTTGCGAAACAGAATCAAAAAAAAAAAAAAACTTAGAAACTGGATTTCTTGATTAAGATGGAGTTGTTTTCAGATTATATTGAAAAAAAAAAAAAAAAAAAAAAAAAAAAATATGAATTTCATTAAAAACTAAAAACTAATCAAAAAATTTATGAATTTTTAAAAAAAAAATATGAGCACTGTTCCAAAGGGGACCCATAACTTCTTTATTTTGGATTTTCCCCGAAATCCGCAAAATTCCTGGCCAGCATTAGCAGCGATTGAGGCCATGAAACCCCCGCGGCTCTCTCATTTCCAAAACACCAACTGATTTTGATGACATAAATAATTTCTAAAAAAACGACAACAATAATAACAACAACACCAATGACACTGGCAAAACTTACACAATGCTGATGATAATGATCGTGACAATATCGCAAAGAAAAAAATGAAGAAGAATTTATTGTCAAAAAAAAAGAAAAATAAATAAATACGAAAAAATAATTCTATAACACATTACCGCTAACGACTTTGCTATGGAGTGATTTGGAATTTTGTTTTTTTGTTCGGTAATCAGGAAATCACTCATCATGTCATAATTATACCCTACAACGATATGGGAAGAGTTGGCTTTTTTTGGCAAATGATTTTGATATGCTTTGGAATTTGGCAGAAATAGAAGGAAGTGGAAAGATTAGACTTCAAAATATACTACAACATAATTTCTCAAAATTTCGATGGTACCAAAAGAAGTGGAGCGATAAAGTCCAACCATGAACATCCAAAATTTGGGCTTAACTCAAGTTCAGTAAAACGCAATTTTTTCGAAAGATAATGAAAATACGTATGCAACAAGCGGTCACATTTAAAACGTTTCGGGTGGTGTAACCAAATCATTTTTATATACGGACTTTTTAAAAAAATCCACCAAAAATCGCAAAATCTCCCATTTTTGGAGTTCATAAAATTCCAAATTAAAGTTGACACTCTAACCTTTCCAAATTCTTAAATTTGTGTTATTATATTTTCTGGACTCAGAGATATGGGTCTTTGAACCCGGCCGAGGACCGTCTACATAAAAATAAAAAATAAAATTAGAAAAATAATTTTTTTATTTTCGGTGCTTGTGCTTCATGAATACTCAAAATTTTGACTATTTGTGGGAGAGGTACCAGAGGTATTAGAAGGTAGCTTGCGTTAGTAGAAATAATGGGATGTGTGAAATGTGAAGAGAACCGGAAGCTAATTTTATAATCATTTTGGCTATTCAAAACTTTGATCCTTTTTTGGGGGGAGATTCAAGAAGAAATGATCCGATCTCTACCATCTTTAAACAGATCTTCTGTTTATAGAAATATTGAGATGTGCCAAGCCTGAAAGGAATCCGTCGTTGCTTTCGCATTTCATGTATAGTAGAAATAATGGGATGAGTAAAATATGAAGAGAACCGGATGTTTATTTCGGATTTTATAATAGTTTTTGTTATTCAAAATTTTGACCCTATGTGGGGGGATACAAGAAGTAGTGTACCGACATATCCTATCTTCACATCAGACCTTGTGTTATTAAATATTGTAATCTGTGTAATTTGGCGACAATCGGACTCTTACGCCACATTTTGTAAGAATTATAATTATAAAAAAAATGTTGACCCTTTTTGGGGGAGGTACCAAAAGGTGTAGACAGACATATCCCATCTTCACACCAGATCTTGCGATAGTAAAATACTAGAATGTGTCAAATTTGAATACCATCGGACTCTTATTTCACATTTTATAAGACTTATGATTATTCAAAATGTTAACCCTTTGTGGGGGGTACTTGATGAAGTGGACCAATATTGTCCATTTTCGCACCTAAGCTAGCACTGAAGAAAATATTAGGATCTACAAAGTTGGAGCAATTTTGGACTACCCTTCTCTTTCTGTGCAGTAAATTATTTTCTTTGAAAATGTTGACATTTTGTGAAGGAGGTACCAGAAGGAGTGGACCGATATTGCCCATTTCAGAACTCGATCTAAGTTTGATAATAATATTACGATGTACCAAGTTTGAATCAAATCGGAAACTTCCTTCGAGAGTTATCGGCCGCCAGATCGACTCCAAATGTTCTGAAACGGATTTGGTCCCAAGAGACCTAGGGTCTAAAATCGTTATTTCGAAGAGGCACGTTTTGGCCGTATCAAAAGATCATACCCTCTTTAGCCATATTAGTTTGCGTAGCCAGTGTTGGACGTACCCAGAGGTAAAAATCTCAAACGCCGGCTACTTAAAGGGAGATTAGAAAAACGTTGGTTCGCGTAGCTGATGTTAGACATAACCAGAGAGAGAAAATCTCAAGTTACATAAAACACCATAAAATTTAGAAAAACTGAACAGAATGTACTCAATAGAATCGGGTTGTTGGAGGTTTAAAGACCCATATATCTGAATACAGGAAAGCTAATAGCACAATCTGTAAAATTTTGGAAAGGTTAAAGTGCCAACTATGTAATATATTTTGTGGACTTCAAAAATCGGACCTTTTTTGATTTTTGAGGAATTTTATAAAAAATTCGGATCTAAAAAATTATTGGCAATTTTCAAAAAAAAAACAAAATAAATAAAATCCGTTAAAAATTCTGTTAAAATATTAAAAATATCGAATGTAGACGTTATTCGGTATGAGCTACATTATTCACCGATTTTTTTTTCAAGTTTCGCATTTGAATATTGTAATGGCTAATGACAAAAGTTGCCTATGCAGGTCCACTTCGTCGTATAGACCCTAACTATACGACGAAGTGGACCTGCATAGGCAACTTTTATCATAAGCCATTACAATATACAAAATGCGAAACTTGAAAAAAATCGGTAAATAATGTAGCCCATGCCGAATATAGAGAGGAGCTATTATATAGGGGCTATACCAAAACGTGGACCTACATGACCCATTTTCAATCCTGCAGACATAATATACTTTTGTGTAACATTTTATAAACCCACTTTAATTCGTTCGGAAGCTAGAGTGGTCGGACATCGCTAAATCGACATAGAATTTTATGCTGATCAAGAATATATATATACTTTGTGGGGTCTAAAATGTATATTTCGAAGTATTACAAACGGAATTATATGGTTGGAAATAAGTTGGAAATTCCGGCTGAAGTGGTAGTCACTCACATAAAACCATGTAAACAAGCTTCATTTTTTACAACATACTGGGTGTTACACATCTTCTAAGAATCCCAAGAAGTTAAAATTGTGTGTGATTTGAAAATTTTTGAATTTCGTTAGATGAACGGTGGTCTTATCTGCTGTCTGTTTAATTAGGCCAATGATATACACGTGTTAATAATTATTCCACTTATCTTAAAAAAAAAAAAAAAAACATGTCTGCGGTTTTTGTCAATCTAAATAATTACATGAACCACCGAAAAGTGTAAGTTAAGCAATTATAAACTTATGTCCGAGTTGAAAATTTCTTAGGCGTTTGTAAAAGTTTGGGTTTCTTCCCCCATTTGATGACTGGCAGAATATTTCAAAGACTTTAAATTCCCGAAATATTTGGAAAGTCGAATGTGACATTTGTCTATGGAACATCATGGCAAATGCAGAAAAATATTCATGGAATGACTCTGGATTTTCACTATTACAATTTCCATCAACATTTCTGCTGCCTTTTATTCCTAATAAAGATGGGACTTGATAAAAATCGGCATTCCAAATCCAAATTGCGAAATTACAGTCATTTCTGTTGGAAATTAGAGCAAAGACCTCCGAAATACAGAAGATCAGGATGTGCCGTTCTATGGGAGCTATAAAGAATACTGGACTTACATTGGAATCTTTTAGGCAAGAGAGATGTTCCTACAACCTATAAGGCCAAATTACTATTGTATGTGTTGAGAAGAGAAGATAAATTCTCAGCTGCACCACGTGAAACATTAATTCCTACTAGAGTCGCGTGGATCGACGGATTCATATATTTTTTTACATAGATGGCCCGAAGGAGAGCGTGACTGGGGATTTTTTATTGAAGAATGAAAACGTGGGGAAAGCCACAAAAAATCCTATAGGGAGTCCCCGATGAGATTACTAAGAACCTTTTATTAATAGATTAGTGGGTTAACCGGCATCCTTATGGGTCTCCTGGGCCTTCAAGTTCCTTTGTACAAGATAATAATAACTGTGCTAATAATAACATATGCCGGGCATGCTGGGAAGATGATAAAACTTTGGAGGCAGAGAAAGCGTTTGCAATGCCTAGCGTTTGCAAATATCAGATCCCAATTCTTAAAGAACTACTCCCTACCAGACTTTAATCAGATAATGGTAAATTAAATAAATCTCTAATCTAGAGCGCACTACAGGGCATGTGGTGATTTCAATCTAACCTAAGATTAAATCCGTATTTGTCTAGCGATCCACCTTCTTTAAATTGCCATTAACAGAGCAAGAGAAAACTTGAGAAATTTTTATGTTCTTAAAGTTCGTAAAGGAATATCAAATTTATTCATAATAGTCCAACCATTTTATGATGACAAAGGGATGGTATTTTTCAAAAGTTCTTCTAGAGGGTACACATTCCAATGGAATTATCCTTTTTAAAGGAATCCTAAAAAAATGACCAAATACCACGGAGTCTTTCCAAAACAGTTTTTCTTTCCATATGTTCTATTTATCATTATGAATATTTCGAAGGAGAATGACAGATTTCTTATGGACTCAGAATATGGAATCCCCCAGCTTAAAATGTTACCCTTACCAAAAAAAGAAT